AAAGAAGAACTGATGTCTTTGAATTGTGTTGGCAAGGAATACTGGAAATACCATGGACTTCCAGAAGAATGAACAAATCTGTCCTGGAAGAAGTGCAGCCAGAATGCTCCTTAGAAGAGAGAATTGTCTCTCGTACTTTGGTCATGTTGTCAGAAGGGGCCAGTCCTTGGAGAAGCATATCATGCTTGGTAAAGCAAAGGGTCAGCAAAAAAGGGGAAGGCCCTTAATGAGATGGATGGACACAGTGGCTCCAGTGATGGACTCAAACATAGCAAGGGTTGTTGAGGATGGCATTGGCTGTCAGCTGTCCTGTCTGCGTTTTCACATGAGAATGGGCCCATCTAGTGCTTGTCATTGTGTCTGCTCTTACATCCTTCCATTCTCTCCTTTCACTTTGTTGTCTTTGTCGACTTATAGATGTTTATTGACCTCCCTCAATCTGCTGACACTGTGCTGGGTTACATGAGGGAGCTGTAAGCATATACTCCCATTCCGTATAGTGGTTTTTGCAAAATGCATTAACCAGGGATTTGTCTCAGGAGCCTGAAATTGAAGCCTTAGTCATAATATGCTTTGCTATATATGGTAGACTGATTTCCTTAGGCAATCCATTTTCAGCCAGTGTTTGCTATTTGGAAAATATTATATATATACACACATATTCCTAAGTAAGAGTATGTTAAGATGAGGTCACAGAGGTAGGAGAAAATTATCTGAGTCTTAGGGGGAAACTGTAACTATTTTGACCTAGAAGAAAGTTTCTGGATCTGGTCCTGTTGTACAGAAAGATGAGCTGGTCTGATGAAGGCTAAGTTCTCGACCGAAGTAAGTGAAATAACATTGCCTATCGTTACTTGCTTGTGTCGATTCTATTTTTCCTCCAATATTTGTTATCTGACCTTTAAATTCTTGTTTGGAAGAACTGTGGTTTTCCCTTACTCCTATCAGAGATGCTTTGTTTTGGGTCTTGGTCTTCTTGTCTTCCCACCCCAAACTGAAACCCCAAACCCACTGCTGTTGAGTTGACCCTGACTCATAGTGACCCCTGTTGGATTTCCAAAGCTATAAATCTTTGCAGAAGTAGATTGCCCATCTTGCTTCCACAGAGCTGTTGGTGGGTTTGAACCGCCAACCTTCTGGTTAGCAGTCAAATGCCTTAGGCACTGTGTCACCAGAACTCATTCTTCCCACCTTGAATTTCACCCTATTCCTGGCCGGCTTGTTCAATCTGGAAAAATGCTGCAGAGTTTTCTTTGGAGTTGTTTCTCACGTCCGTGTTTCTCTCCATTCACCACTGGATTCATACTTTTTCCACTTCAAGTCTAGGTGGTAGAATGAATGTGGTCCCTGATCTGTTTGTCTCCAATTCCTCCCCTCTTTCTGTTCCTACTTGTACATCACTGCCAGACACGCTCCTCTCCTGCCTGGACACCTTCTGTCATCCCTTCAGGATGAAGGGCAAGCTTCTTGGCCTGGCATTGAAGTCATCCATAGTCTGGCCACAGGCTATTTTTTCTGAACTTCTTTTCTGTTCGTTCCCAATTTGGACCCTCACTGCCTTTTCTTTTCTTTTTTTTTTCCTTCCAATTTGTCTTCTGATAGAATTTTATCTACTTGGGATTTTGCTTAAGTTCTTGTCCTTTCCTAGAATGTACTCCCCTTTCTTAATACAAGCCTTAGCCATGCTTCAAGGCATGTTCCCAAAGTTTTTTCTGACCATCTCCCACCCCAAACAGAGGCTGCTAGCCTCTGACCTTCCTTTGCTTCTTCAAGCCATTCTTTATCACTTAGTCATAACTGTCACGTACTGGTATGTAATCGAAGGAGCACTGGTAGCACAGTGCCTAAGATATCTGACTGCTAACCAGAAGGTTAGTGGTTCAAACCCACCAGCCACTCTGCAGAAGAAATCTACTTCTCTAAAGATTTATCACCTCAGAAACCCAGTGGGGGTCACTATGAGTCTGAATCGCCTCAATGGCAGTGGGTTTGGTTTTGTTTTTGGTATGCACCTTAGCCCCTTAAACTGACCATTTTGGGGGGGCAGAAGCCAGATCTTTTATTTTTGTGTTTCCAGAAGCATCTAACAAGTCTTTCTCAACTTTGCCCGCCCATGCCCATCACTTGTTCATGTTAGCTGCTGCCGAGTCAGCCCGTGACTCATGGCTGTCCCTTACACAGTGGAATGAACACTCCCTGGTCCTATGCCTGGTCCGTGAGTGGTTGCATACGAGACCATTGGGATCCACGGGGTTGGCACTGGCTGATTTTTAGAAGCACACCACCAACTCTTCCTTCCTAGTCTGTCTTAGTCTACAAGCTCCACTGAAACCTGTTCAGCATCATAGTGACCCCTGAGCCTCCACATGAGTGGTGGCAGTGCGTGAGGTCCGCTGGCCAGAAATCAAAACTGAGTCTCCCACATAGAAGATGAGAATTCTGCTCCCGACCCACCAATGCCTTACAGAGCTTTTCAGAAGGAAAAAGGAGAAGTTAGAATCTGTGAAGATGGGGCTGAGGAACTATATTGAAAATGCTCCTTGGTGATGATAATGTACAGCCAGAGTTGAGAACCACTCATCGAACACAGTGCAGGCAATGAAATATTTTTGACTGCAGTAGTGGATATCATTTGAGCCCTTTGTACATATTATTGCTTCTCTGTTGAGAATATTCAAAGGGATCTTTTATAAGACTTGAGCAAAAATGATTTGTTCAACCAGTGAATATGAGTGCCCACGATGTGCCAGGCACCGTTTTGGGGCTGAGGTCACTTCAGTGAGCAGAACATGGCCCTGGTGTCCCTGAGCCTGGCTGCAAGAAGACGGAGAATAAACAGAAACTCCCAGGTAAGGGCACTAAATGATGCTGAGAAAAGCGAAGCCAGGTAAGAGGGCAGAGAGGAAAGCCTTCTTTTATCTCCCCTCCTTTATGATATGTTATTTACTTCTCATTGTGCTTTGGGTGCAAATTTACAAAACAAACTTGTTTCATATTCAACAGTTCATGCACATCTGATTTCACCACCCTGATTACCATCTCCAACAATAAAAAACTCTCCTCCCCTCTCCTCCCTGTGACCACCCCCTCCCTCTGCCCTTCTTATCTATGCATCCTGCCTGTCCAGGTTTCCGTCTATGTGAGTGCTACCCCTCTGGTGTCTCACTGTGATTGATCCAAGGGGTGCATCTCCCTAGAGTAGGTGGGTGCCTCGACCTGGTAGGTGTTCTGTATGTGGTCTTTTCCACTGTTGGGCTGAGAGCCAATCCATGTAAGTGAGTCCATTTGTAGGCCTGAAGGGTAACTGGGGGCCATAGTCTTGGGATCCACCAGTCTCTTTTTGACCAGCAATTCTGGTCATTTTTGTATCTACACTCCTTTACAATATGTTGCTTCTCTGCCTTCAATCAGCATAGAGGAGCTCTGATGGTGCAGTGCCTACGGCATTTGACTACTAACCAGACGGTTGGTGGTTCAAACCCACCAGCCACTCTGCAGAAAGAAGATGGGGCAGTCTACTTCCATAAAGATTTACCACCTTGGAAACCTTATGGGGGTTGTTATGAGTTGGAATCAACTCTGTGGCAGTGGCTTTGGTTTTCGGTTTTGAGAGGATTATAAGTCTTATCATCACTTTAAAAAGGTGATATACTTCTACAGCCTGGATTTCGTCTTCCACCATGCTTCTCTGTGTCACCAAACAATGTTCTTTGTAGTTGGGGTAAGGACACTTGCTTACAGGAGAATCCATTTCTTAAATTATATGACATGTTGTTGTTGTTATGTGCTGTTGAGTTGTCTCCAACTCATAGTGACCCCTCCTTGGGTTTCTGAGGCAGTATCATTATGGAAATAGATTGCCCAATCTTCCTTCTGAGGAGTTTGAACCACCAGCCTTCTGGTTAGCCGTCAAGTGCCTTAGGCACTACGCCGCCACAGCTCCTATTATATGACATAGGGTTTGCATTGTTTTGGCTGGGTGGGGAAAAAACCTTAACTTTTATCGGAGCAAAATGTATACATAAGGAAAACATGATGCATTTCGTCTATAGACCATTTCAGTTTCTCTGGTCCTTTACATCAGAAAATCCAGAAAATCAGAGATGGATTGACATGGTGGCTGCAAGGATGGGCTCAGGTATACCAAAGATCGTGGGGCTGGCATAGGACGGGTCAGTGTTTCGTTCTGCTGTGCATGAGGTCGCTGAGTCTGAGATGACTCTATGGCACCTAACAGTTACCTCAGAAGCCCCTCTGCAAGGTCAGACCTCAAGCTGCCCCCCCCCCCCAATGAACAATGCTGCCTTGGAATTGGGGATGATTCTAGGACTGAAAGCAAATCCTGCGGGCATAGGCCGCGTCGTGTGGTAGCTGCGGTAACTTCAGCACTGACGGGAAAGAGCCATAAATCACCCAGCTCCAGTTCAGGTTGCCAGGCACATCTAGGGAAGAACAGCTGGGCTGTTGGAGACAATGCTGGGAGGACGCCCCTTGCCCGGAGCTCCGGCATTGTCAATTGGGAGCGTTATCTATAAAGCTGAGCACGAGCTGTGCGTGAACGAGGG